CTTGACTATGGCATTTCTTTTACCTTTGAGGGAATCTGCTACAACAAAAATTCAAAGACACTGTCAATGAATGAGTAAGAACCAACTCAGAGCTGACCCTCCAGCAGTTTCTCAAAGGTTGCAAATCGCATGGGAGGACATTATATATGTTTCTCCTATAGATAAACCAGTGGATTCAAACTACCTGTCCTTGGATTGGCAGTAAAATGAATTATTCACCAGACCTTCATGATGTTGCTATTGTGTACCATTGAATAGATTGCGACACATTGCGACCCTATGTACAATTGCTCTGAATTCTGCCCATCCTGAGCCAATCTCACTATCTCTGCCACACCGATCCCTATGACCCCAGTTACTGTGTTTATCCATCTCATCTGAGGTCTTCCTCTCCTGCGCTGTCCCTCCACCATTCCAAGCATGATGTCCTTCTCCAAGAACTAGTCCCTCCTGGCCACATGCCTAAAGTATATGAGATGGAGACTCAAAATCCTTGCCTCCAAGGAGCAATTTGGTTTCACCCTCTCCAGGACAGGTCAGTTTGTTATATTCTCAGACCTAGAGCTGTAGAAAGTTTGTTTTTAAGTGGAAATAGACACTCAAACACTATATTCCTGATACATATCCACACATGGAAGTTGGGTGTCTCAGGATCTACACTCTTGCCTACATCACTGCTAACAATCAGTTTTGTGAGTAATGGCAACACATTTAACCAAGGATTCAACTTTCTCATATGTAAAACAAAAGGGCAGAATACAATGCTTTCCTAAATTTACATATTAAGTAGACATAATCTTAATTTTTTAAAACTCCAACTTCTAATATAAAAATACATTTTTAAAAAATGCAATTTCAAGATTCCTATATAAATTATTGAAAATAGTGCCACACTCTTTAAAAGAATATCAAATGAAATTTTAGGAACAAAAATAACTTTGCCAGATGCTTTGTACAGCTCTGATGCAATCCTGAAGGCAAGCGGTTTGAGGCCACAAGTTGCTCTGCAGGAGAAGGATGGGCAGTCTCCTCTTGTATGATTACCTGTCTCTGAATACCCACCAGAGGGTCACTATGGATTGGGTCCAACTCTATGGTGCACAACAACAACAACATACAGAAAACATAGAAGCGAAGCTCATATTGCTCTTTGAAAGACCCCTTACATCAAGTTCAAGGATACAATGCTTGTCTACAGGTGCAGGTGCAAGAACAAAACTTCCAAGAATACTTGGAATGTTACAACTGTAATAAAGCCTACATTTATTGTTGTTGTTACATGCCATCGAGTTAAGTACAACTCATAGCAACCCTATGGAGAACAGATCTGAACCCTGACCTATCCTGTGCCATCTTCAACACCTCTGAAACACTGGAGCTGGCATCATGGTAGTCTTTGCAAGCAAATATATTAATATATCTGTATGGGAACAAATGATCCTATTAAATATGTAACAATTTGAAATAATCTTTCTTCAGTTCACTTCAGATTTTGCCACAAAAAGTTCTCCTTTTTTGTGGGGGAGGGTAGAAACAGATGGGTGGGGATGTGCAGGGGTGGGTGGGAATTAATCATTGGTCATATAATCTGGTGAGTGAGAGAAATGAGAAGGATCTGGTGTGAAAAATAATGTGTTTAAATATTGTAAATAAACTAGTATAATTAAAAAAATTCAACTTTAGCATTACATGAGTCTTTCCTTCATACATATTCTCTCTCTCTCTCTCTTCAATGTTTTGTGGATTTGAAAATTCATATAAGGGAATGTGATGGTGGTGGTGGTGGTGGTGTCAGGTACCATCAAGTCACGTACAACTCCTAGGAACCTTATGAACAACCTATCTGAATGAACTCTGTCCTATCCTGCACCATCCTTATCATCCATGACACGTTTAAACACACTGCCATGATCACTGTGTCAATTCATTTCACCGAGGGTCTTCCTCTCCTTTTTTCCTCCACTTTTTCAAGTATCATGTCCTACTTCAAGGAACAGCTTCTTCTGAGCAACAGGCACAAAGCAAGTGAGAGGAATGAAACTTTGCCATCCTTGCCTTGAAGGTGCACTATGATTGTACCTCCTCAAGGACATAGACGTTTGGTTTTTTGGAAGTCTATGGAATATTCAGTACTCTAACACCACAACTCAAAAGGCATCAATTCTTCCCTTATCTTTAATTACTGTACAGTTCTTGGATGCATAGCAGGAAATTGGAAATTGCCAGGCTCGAATCAGGTGCACCTTACTCTTTAAACTGACATTGTTGTTCCAGACTTCAAAGAGGTTCCTGCAAGCAGCCTCTCCTACGGTTATACAGATTCTGTTTTCATGACTGCTGGTACCAAAGATGTTGATTGTGGATTCCAGAAAGATGAAATCACTGACAATTTCAATCTTTTCTCCGTTTAACATGTTGCCTATTGACCTAACGGTGAGAATTTTTGTTTTCTTGATGTTTAGATGTGATCCATATTGAAAGCTGTAGTCCTTGATCTTCTGCAGCAATAGCCCCAAGTCCTTGGCATTTTCAACAGGTAGTGCCATCTGTATAAGTAAGTTCGGTGAGTTTTCCTCCAATCTTGATGGTATATTCTTCTTCATAAAGTTCAGCTTCTCGAATGATTTGCTCAGCATACAGACTGAATAGGTATGGAGAAAGGCTGCAGTCCTGACATACACCTTTCTTCATTTTAAACCATGCAGTACTCCCTTGCTCTGTTCATACAACAGCTTCTTGGTTTAGGTGTAGATTTCATATCAGCATAATTTAGTATTCTGGAATGACCATTCTTCTCAATGCTAGCCAGTTGTGTTTTTTTTTAATTTTTTTTGTGTGTGTGTGTACCGTCAAATCAGATCTGACTGGTAGTACAGGAGGAGATTGTTCCTTCTCCAGCAGAGCATCTGGTGGATTTGAACCGTGCACCTCTGGGACTGCAGTACACCTTCTTGCCACTAGGCTACCAGAGCTCGCTTCTAGTCATTTTTTATGATCCATACAGTCAAATACCTTTGTGTACTAGATAAATCACAGGTTTGTCTTATTTATCAACACTAGAAAAAAAATTCTACTATGTTGAAAACGTAATCAAACATTTTTTACCTCCTCCACATGTGGCATCACAGTCTTCCCAACCTGTGTGTGTCCACATGAACAGCGGCTCAGGATCTCTGGAGCTCTGGTTCTCTGGCAGCGGGTCTGAAGGAACAGTGTATTCATAGTGAAGACCATAGTTCTGATCCTGAAACAGCAACACCTACAATATATGGAAATGATAGAAGGTAGATGGGTTAAATTAGAGCACATTTAATCTAAATTATAACATTAAAGATTCTGATGTTCTAAAATGCATATTAAAGGATACTTCTATTACTTTCAGGAGCTCTGGTGGCCTAGTGAGCAAAGAGTTGTGCTGCCAACTCAAAGGCTGGAGGTTTGAATCCACCAATGGCTCTGAGGGAGAAAGATAGGCAATCTCCTCCTGTGCAATTTATTGTCTCTCAAAACTTGCTGGAGGATCAGCTACAACTTGGCTTTGAGTTGACAGCACTTTATTATTATTTTAGTACATAGTAGACATATAGCATTACTGCTTAAAAGTTGAAGTGGTTATACTTTGTAAAGATTTTGATCTCTAGACTCACCTCTCAGCTAAAGACAAGACAAAGAGAGACCCACTTGAATGTAGTCAAAGATAATCAAAACTTTTCTCTCAAGGCTGATGGACATGACTATTGCCCAAAACAAGTTTCTTGAAGACTTTGGGTTGTATACAAATGTGGAGATGCAGGAATGCATGCCCCATCTAATTTTATTTCTTCTCAGATAAACAGAGAAGATGGTAAAAAAGCCTGTAGGCCAAGGGATGATGAGGATAACATGCTTTGAGACTCTACCACCCAAACAGGACTCTGAGAGAACTGGGGACCAAGAATTCAATTTCACGTATGCTTACAGTTAATTTCATTTTTGGAAAAGTGACTAATTTTCCATCAGCAATAAGATATTTTATTAAATATATCATGGCATATTAAAATTATTTTTTAAAAAATAAATCTACAGTTACATGTGAATCTACAGACATGTAAATAGTTCAGTTAACCATGAACCTGTTGTGAGCATTGACTATTGTGTGTCACCGGATTAAATCACAAACAAAACCCAGACTGTTCATTTTCCCTTGGCCCTTAGTGTGCCCACATTAGTACCTGAATCATGTTGGGCACTTATAAACATACTGAAATAATACTATTTAACATTAATGACAGTATATGCCTCATTATAAATACATGTGAACAAAATATGCCAAATGAATTTGTGAACTACATCATTTATAGCAGCCTGTGGATTTACAGAAGCAATATACAGGATACAGTGTAACACAGAAAAGCATGTACATATTTATATTTTAAAACTATACTGAATAATTAAAAATTTTTCTGTTTAACCTGTGCCATTGTAACTGTAATGCCAATTCATAATTAATATACTAATGAGGAGGGTGGCTAAGGACTGGAATTGACTGTTTCAATGTTGGTTTTGGAGGAGAATAAAATTTTTTAAAAATTTATGTTTAAGCAGTTGAGCATTTTCCTATTATTTTCTGTTTTCTTACTTTTCTCAAAGTTCTGTTCAATATATTAACAGAATGACTGGGAAATTTTAATGTGTAGGTTGGAGAACAAGTGTGATAACTTTATAAAGAAAATATATCAATAATAAAAATAATAGTCTTTAAGTTCACACTTGCATAACAAGTTGGGCATTAATTCTAAGTTAGTTACATCATTATTTTGGCTTTTAATATCTTATTTGAGTTTATCCAAATGGATTTTTTAAAAGAGAGATGGATTTACCTTGCTTATGGTCCTACCAGATTTTTAAATATGATCAGAGGAGCATAGAAATAAACAGCTATGTGTCCACATATTTGTTAAAAGAAAAAGAAATGTTCATTTTACCTAATAAACCCCTTTGCCATTGATAACATTTTAGATTGTCCTTGACTATATACCACTATTTAAAATAGAGACATGGGCTACAAAACCATTAGCTCTTTGTTAAACCATTTGGGGTTGGCAGCATTTGCAGTAGAAGGAAAGTGTGACCATGTTGCAGTGGGGAGGTACAGATTAAAGCATGGCAGCAGAAGGAATTGCCTTTCAAAATTCAGCACCAGCTCTCAATCTGCAATAGTCATTAAAGAAAATTATCTTAGAAGTGTAGTTTCCTTTGGATTACTGAATAAATCCAGGTCACACTGATGCCTTCTTTCAGACACAGTTCACTGACTTTAATTATGCTTCATGCTTCCAGGAAAAACCTTGGTAATTACCAGTTAGATTAAGGATTTTGTAGCAAGGAAACTCCCTCTGCCCAACACTGTGGTCTTACATATACAGCTTTAAGGTTTCAAATTAGAGGCTTAGTCTTGTTTCATAAAAATAATTTTAAAAACTAGTGTGTTTTAAGTAAGTCAAGAAACTCAATAGGCCTGCCTGCAATCTAATTATTAAAAACATTTGCATTTGATTACGTGATTATAAGTCACTCACTCACAGAAGCAGCATGCATTGGACACACGATATCTTTTTTAATAATTTTATTTTTTTCCTTTCTCCAAAAGGCCTGTACATGTTCCATTAAAGTTCAAGAATATGGTCCAGAGCCATTGTAGGGCAATGAAAGAAATAATTAATTGAATTTACCAGTGACCAAGGGTGTTTAGTATAAAAAACTTGTTGAGTCAGAATCTAATCGTAGCTGCTTCTCCAGTGGGTTTCCAGAGGCAGTAAATCACAGGAGGAGGCTGTCCGTCCTTCTTCCACAGAGCAGCTTGTGGATTCGAACCACATGCCTTTGTGATTGCAGCACAGATTCTTACCACTAGACCACTAGAGTTCCCTCTAAAACATTTATTTAGACACAAAACATAGGCTTGTCTTTTTTAAAAAAAGTTCTTTTAATCAGTAAAATGGAGAAATAATATATATTACACAGAATTATTTGCAGATTAAATATTGTTAATGTAAATGACATAATCAGACATTTTATAATACTGTCTTTATAGACAGACACTCATTGTTAGTACATGTATGTTTTAGAGAAAAAATTAAAAAGAAAGCCAGGCTGTAGAATCAATTCTGATTGTGGTGACTGTGTGTTTCAAAAAACTTTGTTCCATAAGGTTTCCTTGTCTAGAACTTTTGTGGAAGAAAATCAGCAAGACTTTCTTCTATAGCATTGTTGTGGGGTTTAATCTACCAAGTAAGTAATCAAGTGCAGAACGAGTGCCTTATTTGGGATGGGAACAGTATTTATGGAGAACTCTGACAGTGAAGTTTGTGGAGTTGTGCAGCAAACTGAAAGATCACTCCTTTCATAGTTCAAATCCATGAGCAGCACCACAAGGGAAAGATGGTCCATCTCCTCTTTCCATGTGACTTACAGCCTCAGAAAACCACTGGCGAATCAGCTAGAAGATGGTTCCTCCTCAAAACATAATGGCAATACGTCTGAGTCTTTAAATTTCCTACAACATTCTTTGCTTTTCTTATTACTATTATTTTAAAGCACATAAGTGAAGAATTGTCTCTGAAGTAATTTAAATGGCTGACATTGAAGATTTAGAAGCTATAGAGAAGGCAGGATGGGAATGCCCTTTGCCACCAAGAATGATTATGAAATGTCACCATTCATTCCCTCATACCAGAAGGTGTAAAGGTGTTGTGGTAGGACCTTTAGCAGAGATCTTCTCCCACAGGCCTCTTCGTAGATAATGAACCGTTGTGCCCGCTAAGTTGAATGCTCCAGAGTGCTCAATCTTCCAGTCACTGTTAATAGACTGTTTGCCAGCATCTCGGAGAGCTATAATAAGATTAAAAAATATTATAAATATAATAAAGCTAATCTTCCAGTCACTGTTAATAGACTGTTTGCCAGCATCTCGGAGAGCTATAATAAGATAAAAAAATATTATAAATATAATAAAGCTCCATATCCAGTTAATATTTTATTAAAATAATTCTATTCATTTCTAAATAGATGAACTTACGTCCTTTTTACATAGAACATAAGGCATCTCCTTTCAGCCTTTGTCCTAACTAAACATCATATCCTACATAGCAGGTGAAAGGACAAAATTCCCTTTCTCCTTCATGGCCCTGTCTATCTTAGCCTACTGTAATATTCTTGGATACTTGATTGATATCTTAATCCCTAATTTTGGATCTTAATTATTTGTTCTGTGCACATAGTTATTGTAATACTGTGTGTGACTATCTTACCTACTCAGTGGTCCTATGAGCAGTGTATAACTAGAAAAACATTAGCTGCGCAATCATGAGCAACGTCCAAACTGCATGATGGTGTCTTAGAGTTGGTGCTGCCCAGTGTGGTAAATCATTCCACCCTCCACACAGAAGCTCTAGTAATACTTAAAGTCAATTTTAGTCATAAAATTATATATGTAACAGATACAATTAGAAATTGCTTAATTTATTACAGTTTTGAATGTTCAAAACAATTTTTTTCAAAACAATTTTTAAAAAATCTTTCTACATAGAAAACATTGCTATAAGATTTTTAGAAACTTAATAAAGGCTTTTTTTGTTGTTTTTCTATAATTCTTGAAAGTGTTATTGGTATGTTATTGTTGTTATGTACTATCAAGTTGAAATTGTCTTATAGCTGACCCTCCAGCAGGTTTTCATTGGCAGTTAATTACATAGGACAAAACTGCCCCTCTGTCTCCGGCAGAATAGCTGATAGATCTGACCCATGTGCCTTTAGGTTATCAGTGCTACTTCTTACCACTAAGACACCAGAGCTCCCTGTTATTGGTATGTTGTTGCTAGGTGCCACTGAATGCAACTTATAGCAACTCTATGAACAACTATAGAACTCTGTCCTATCAGCTGTGCCATCCTCATCATCTCTGACACATTTGCCTATTATTGCAATCATTGTGTCAACTCATCCCATTGAAGATCTTCTTGTTTTTATCTGACCCTTCACTTTTCCAAGCATGATGCCCCTTTCCAAGGGGTAACCCCTCCTAGCAACATGTCCAAGGTATGTGAGACAAAGTTTCTCCATCCTTTCCTCTTTTTCTAAGACATATACTGGTATGCATATTGTTGTTGTTATGGGCCAACAAGTTGCCTGCAACTCAGCAATCCTACATACAATAGCTGTAAACCTCACTCTAAACTGTGCCAATCTTATTGTCCCTGATACACCTACTCCCAATACCCCAGTCACTGAATCAATCCGTATCATCGAGGGCATCCTCTCTTGTGCTGTCCCTCCACCCTCTCAAGCAGGATATTCCTCTCCAAGGACTGGTCCCGCCTTGCAACATGTCCATGTATGTCAGATGAAGCTTCAGAATCCCTGCCTCCAAGGAGCAGCATGGCTTCACTTTCTCCAAGACGAACTTGTATAGGTTCACAAATACTAATTGTCACAATGTTGTAGATGAAACATTGGAAAATGTCATAGAATCAGTGTCTATAAATCATCAGCAGCATTTAAAACAACAGTGTTTGTAATATATGTAGATAAAAACACACATTCCTAAGCATCATCCCTGTAGTCACTGTGATGAAAGGATCACTCTGAGAGGCGTGCACTGTTGTTGTTGTGCATCCTCAAGTGCAGTGTGCCATACCTTTTCAATCTAATGCAGAAAAGATTATCTGGGAGGCTGGGCACTAGGAGGAGAAATGTTGCATCAGGATTGGATGAAGACTCATCAACAATCTGCGTTATGCAGATGACACAACCCTACTTGCTGAAACTGAAGAGTACCTGAAGCGCTTGCTGCAAAAGGTCAAGTACTGCAGCCTCCAATATGGATTGAAACTCAACATTAAGAAAACAAAGATTCTCACCACTGGGCCAATTGACAACATCATGATAGATGGTGAAGAGACTGAGTTTGTAAAAAGGTTTAGTTTGCTTGGCTCTACAGTCAACACTCTAGATATCAGTAGCCAGGAAATTAAAAGATGAATTTCACCAGAAAGTATGCCATCAGAGACCTCTCTAAAGTGATTAAGAGCAACGATGTTAGTCTGGAGACTAAAATGTGCCTGATCTAGGCCATGGTCTTTGCAATTACTTGCTATGCATCAGGAAGCTGGACAATGAGTCGGGATGACAGAAGAATTGATGTCTTTGAGCTGTGGTGCTGGATAAGAGTATTGAACACACCATGGATTGCTAGGAGAATAAACAGGTTCATCTTAGAGAGGGTGAAACCAGGCTGCTCCTTGGAGGAAAGGATTCTGAAACTTCGTCTGATCTACTTTGAACATGCAAGGAGGGACAGACCTTGGAGAGGGATGTCATGCTTGGGAGGTTGTAGTGACAGAACAAGTGTGAAGACCCTCGATGAGATAGAATGATTTAGTGACTGGGGTAATGGGGGTAGTTGTACCAAAGACAATAAGATTGGCACAGGAAAGAGCAGTGTTTAGGGCTGTTGTACATAGGGTTGCTATGGGCCGCAGGTGACTTGTCGGCACATAATAACAACATTATGGTTTTTATTCCCAGTAGGTATACTGAAACACTTAAGCAAGGCTTAAAATATATTTGTTATGATGAGCTACATTTTTATGTTTGGTTTTTTTCTTTTTTAAAAAAAAACAACATTCTGTTGATACACTGCAAAATAATGTTTAATGACTGCCATCTTCTTTTTACTTTTTATAGTGTCCTCTGGTACAGTCAACATTTCCTGCAACTCTCAAATGGCATCACTAAAAACTACTTAATGTGTAAAATAAATGTTAAGACACTGGACAACCAACAACAGAAAACTGTGATTCTTGAGAGAAGGCTAATGTAAGCTCTACAATCACTGTCATTGTTCCTTAACATATTGAGAGGACTCACAGAGCTCATTTGTCCTTGTGAGGTGGACACAGATACTGGAATACAGAGGATAAAGCAAGTAAAAATTAAAAGAGTATGAATCATTGATAAGATGAAGGCTATGCAAAGAAAGGGCTTCTGAAATCTACAGAGGGGTCTTTGTGTCTATGGTTTAATGTTGTTGTTGTGTACTGTTGAGATATGGAGAGAGAATACAACCTTGACATATTCCCTTCCTAATTTTAAACCATGCAGTGTTCCCCTGCTCTGTTTGCATAACAGCTTCCTGGTATGGGTATAGATTTCGCAGGAGCACAATTAAGTGCTCTGGGACTCCCATTCCTGTCAAGGTCAGCTACAAATTGTTATGCTCTACACAGTCAAGTGCCTTTGCAGTCAATAAAGCACAGCAGACATTCTTCTGGTATTCTTTACTTTCAGGCAAAATCCATCTAACATCAACAATGATGTCCCTAATGTCTTCTAAATCCTGCTTGAATTAACCATTTTTGAATGATCTTCAGCAGTATTTTTCTTGCATGTACTATTAATGATATTGTTTGATAATTTCCACATTCTGTTGGGTTACCTTTCTTGGGAATGGGAACAAATATGACCTCTTCCAATCCATTTTCTAGACAGTTGTCTTCCAAATTTCCTGGCACAGACTTGTAAGTGCACCCAAGCCTGCATCTATTAATTGAAATAGGTCAATGGGTATCCCATTGATTCCTAGACCTCATTTTTTGCCAATGCCTTCATTGTAGCTTCCACTTCCTCCTTCATGACCACTGGATACTGTTCATATGGTACTTCCTGACATTTTTTCAATGTCAATTGGTACTTTTTTTTTTTGGTACAATGATTTGGTGTATTCCCTCCATCTTCTTCTGATTCTCTCTGTGTCATTCAATATAGTGCCCATGGCATGTTTCAATATTGCGACTGAATATTGTTTTAAATTTGTTTTCCAGTACTATCAGCTTGAGAAATGCAAAGTGAGTTCTTCCTTTCTTATTCTCCAATTCTACCTCTCTGCACATTCCTTTAGAATACTTTGCTTTGTCTTTTCTAGCTGCCCCTTGATACCTTCTGTTCAGCTCTTTACTTTGGCATGTTTTCCCTTTGTTTTGGCTTCTCAACACTCCAGTGCAATTTTGAGTCTTTTCTGACATCCTTTTCAGGTTTTGCTTTCTCCTCTGATTTTGTAGTGACCTTTTGCTTTCTTCATGGATGATATCCTTAGCATCATCCCACAAGTCATCTGGTCTTCGATCATTGGTGTTCAATGCCTCAAACCTATTCCAAAGGTGAGCTTGAAATTTAGATGGAATAGATTCAAAATCATATCTATTCAAAAGTGTAATGTAAACAAACAAACAAACAAAAAAACCCATAAAAATTCCTAGAGTAGAAGAACATACAAGCAATAAATTCAATGGATGGGCTTAAGCATAATTTAAACACTGAGACAGAAAATAACTAAATGTGAAGACAAGGTAGTACATAGGACAACAGGGCAAAAGGGAAAAAGAAGTTGTAAGAAAATGAAGGAAAAAAAACCTCTACAGAAAACAGAAAATTACTATTTTCTGACAAACATTTAAAGAGTATATAGAATCAGTCTTACATAATGTTTATTAGATAAAAAATGAAGATTGTTGCAGAGTTCTTCAAAAGTTCAAGAAACATATTTTTCTTAATAAATATAAATCTGCTTATTTTACTATTTCTTTTGTACCTAATTTATAAATTAATAATATTCATTTGTATCTATTCACTCTTCCCCCCTTTGCATTTTAGTCATGATTGTAAATGGTTTTTAGAGACAGTGTTCTTTGCAGTAGGTTGCATGCAACTTACCCAGAAAGATAAATGACCTACATGTCGTTTTGAAGATTTTTAAAAATCAGAAGTCATAATGATTTTGTGAAGATGTACCATACGGTATACCTATTTTATGCTTTTGAATAATTTAGTGACAA